AATGCAATTTTTCTCTCTTTTTGTCCAGCATGTGACATGAACGTGCACAAGCAGTGTGTTGTCAACGTGCCAAGTCTGTGTGGGACGGACCACACAGAACGCCGAGGTCGTCTCTTCCTGAAGATCGATGTCAGCGGAGACAGGCTACACGTCACAGGTGGGTTTTTGGTTGGTAGGTAGGATTTTTTTTTTTATGTTTGTTTTTTTCCTGTGTTTCATTCAGCCCAGTTTTTGAGTGGGCCACGTGGACAAGTGGTGCACTCAAGTGAAGTGAGGGTTCAACAGCTACACCACTCAAAGAAATCAATGTGTTTATTCACAAATCTCTGTTTGTTTTTACATTCTGATCTGCACACAGGCTCAGGTTTTACATGTGAAAATATATTTAGCCTTGTTATTTTTTTTGCCGACACTTAAACTTAACAAAAAGGCATTTCACAGTCATGCGATTGAATTATGTTCAATTTAAGTCCGACGTTCCTGACGTCGAGACTTTGCTTGAACTCTGAGTTTCTTTTTTGTATTTTTGTTTTTATTCAACTATTTAAATTCCACAAACATGGGCTCTAGCATCATTTGAAGTGCCTGCAATACTTGCATCAGCCCAGCAGGAGTGTGTGTGTGCAGACCTCAAACTGTGTAGCAAATAGGGTTCGCAGCCGCAGCAGATGAACGAAGGAGCTCCACCACAGTTAGGATTTCTAGCCTTAGGACCAAAGTCAACGGTTGAACAACAGTCCAGTGTTTTCGGTTAGATGAAATTTAAATTAACATCAACTTGGATTAGGAAGAAGCATAGGTTAGTGGCTGCTCCTACCGAGACCCCCTGCAGGAGTGTAGGGGAACTGTCGAGACCTCTGTTTAAAAGAAAAAATACTCCTCCGTCTTTTTTCATTATAAAAATGAAGTCATTAAGGCATCATAACGTGTGTGTGTTTGTATGTGAGTGTTTGTGTGTGTTTTCAACATCCCTAAATTATCCTGTCAGTCAAGAGCAGCAACTGGAGAAGAAGAACTCTCCTGTGTTAAATCGCCTTTGGCAGGAAAGAAATGACTGCTGGGTCACAACCACAACCTCTGTCTGTCAAAGAACCGCAACCACATACACACACTCACATAAACACACACACACACATACACAGGCTGGTCAGAAAATGATTTCTGAGTCCAATTAAGACTTGAACTCAGTAAGGACCGCCCTGCAGTATATGCAGCTCAGGTGTTTATATTGCACTAATAAAAGGTCACAAAGAAGACAAAAGTCGACTTTTCTGTGTACCTCTGTAATGTTCACCAATAATCACGTCTTCGGGTTCATAAAACCTCAGAGTTTGCTGTGAACAGATGAAGAAGCCCCTGGCTGTGTCTGTGTTTTAACTTAGTAGTTTACACAACTACTCAAAGTTTTTCAATCAAAGTATAAAGTATGAAAACAACATCCCCGGCTGAGCTCGACCAACTATGGACGGACTGGATGATGGAAGTGGAGCCGTCAGGCAGGAGGAAGAGAGGAAACAGGAAACAGGATTTAATAAACTACTAAAGAAGGGACATAAAGATGATTGGTGCGATGTAGAGGAGGCCAACAACAGGCTGTGATGAAGGTGAATGATCTGCTGTGGCTGTGACTGTGGGACACACAGAAGAAAGAGAAGATGCAGATGTTGACAGTTAGCGTTCTCCTGATAATGACCTTGTTTGTGTCTGTGTGGAAGTAGCAGCTGATGTAATTATGACAGCCACTCTGTTGGCCTGGTTGGCATGGTAACCACCGACAGACATGTTGAACCTGAACTCGCTCATGTTGTTGGAGGAGAATGGGAAAGACCCCCCTCACCCATTAAACTCCCCCTCAGCATCCTCTGTATTTACACACAGTGACTGTAACCAGCCGTCGGTCCTCCTCTGTTCGTCAGAGTTGATGACATCAGACATCCCTCATTTATTTTGTATATTTATTATATTTTTGTTACAAAATAATAATCATAGGAAAATAACGTGTTGTTTAGTCCAGACCTGGGCTGGAGAGGATGGAGGAAAGATAAAAGTTGACACCAGGCTGAAGCAGAAAAGCCAAAGGTGTGTGTGTCTTGTGTGTGTGTTTCCCTCTGTCTTCCACACACACACACACACACGATGTTCCTCTGTGGTTCACTGCACCTTCATGAACTCCATTAAATCTGTCTCTTCAACCCTGCGTTGGCTTCCTGCTCAGGCTTTGTTCTTCAACTTTCCCTTCGTCCAATATTGACATTCGTGCAGGTTTCTGCTTCTCCCACATGAGCACATGAAAACGCATGTGTGTGTGTTTGTATCTGTGTTGAACACCAGACTTAGAGACGTGGTAGTGTTTAAAACAAAAATTAAAAGCTGTGCTTTTCATGGGAGTTGTCCAAACAAATGAGTTCTCCATAAATGACCGGCGCTTTATTCGCGGCCAGTCCCACGTCCCCCATCAGATCAGTGATCACAGATGTAGCAGCGTGATTATCTGGTTTTTGAGAAGCGAGCGTGTGAACTTTGTCATTCATTATCTCCAAATCACAAAGAATCCAGACGCTAAAAGTGTAAACTAAGTGCTGCTGCACTCACTCCCGTGTTTTGTTGCAGCTTGAAGAAAAAGCAGAACATTTCAATTCTGTGCGTGGGATGGTTGTTAAGTCAGAAGAACAGAGTGGATGCACGTCGGCAGTTTTTGCTTTTTTTTTCTTTTATTTTTGTCAGACACTTGCGTAAAAGTAAACAGAGTGAAATCCAATGAAGTCAACACAAACGCCACGTCTGCCTTTCATTTCTTTCTTTATTATTACATTTCAACTTCACTCCACACAAGTGATGAAAGTAATACACACACACACACACACACACGAGGCCACACACACTGCACAGCCACACGCACGTACTGCACACACACACACACACACACACTAATTTAATTGCTAACTACCTCATAAGGAGGGGAGGATATAGAAGGCAAGCAGTTCTTGTTGTATCTAAGCAACAACGAGAAGCAAAGATGGTCCTTGATCACCACTGATGGTGCTGTTTTAGAGCGTGTGTGTTAGAGCGTGTGTGTGTGTGTTATTTATTCAGCATTATTTCTTGAATTCTTATTATTTTTATTTTAACTGACCCAAGTTCTGTCTTAATGAGGCAGTCGTGGCTCCGGATGCTGCAAAGTCACGTTTAAAGTCCTGATGAGAACAGCTGTGCCTCTGACTGTGGGTCAGAGAAATGCATAGAACCGCACACATGCACCTGACACAGGTTCATGTTGCCTATTTATTATTGTGTATGTGTTGTTTGCACACGTTGTGTCCGTGTGTTAGAGACCACATGAACGTGTTGACTTGTTTTGTTGCTCTGGCATCTTCAGTGCCACTGTTGCCATGGAAGTGACTGATGACTGTTACAGTAACACCACCAGCAGGAGGACAACGTGGGCTGATAAGATACTCTTACCTTCATGCTTCGCATCTGTCTGTGTGTGTGCGCCTGGCCATGAAAGTTTGGATAGAACCAAGAGTGAACAGCGTGACGTTTATTCAAGGCAGAGGCTTCTGTTTTAACCGTGCAATCAGAACAAATCTGAACATACACTGCCCTCTAGGGTTTAAAAGTAGAAAAGCATGAACGCTGTGTGTGTTTATATATTGGGTTAATGGATATGTTTTGTGTTTTTTTGAGCTGTGAATTACAATTCAGGGTCGTTCATCACGTCACACAGGTTCTCTCAGAAAGCAAACGTTCTGGTCAAATCTTATTTAGAAAAAATGACAGGTTAGAAACAACAGAACCGTGGTGACAGCGTGTTCAGGAGCTGCACTGGTCTGTGGTCACAGCCATGTTTTATTCTTCTCTCTGGATAATTTAACTCCAGTGAAAAAACCCAACAACTTTCCCACTGTTTTAATGAAGAATTCTCAAACTCCCTGTGACATTCACTTCTGCAGCTTCTTTGCATTTGCAATATTTCGATTACATCTAAATATTCAGAGTGGCTGAAAACTGCAGTTCAAACCACTCCCTCCACCTTCCATCGCTCCCCCCTCTCCTGCCGCCGTGCATTGTTTAATTCATGCTGTGTGAGTTGGAGCGTCCTGTAGCTTCCATTTGTGTGTGCGGTCACATGACGTCAACGAGTGTTGCAGTGATGGAGTCGCTCCACAGCCACTCACAGTAGATCTTGTCACCATGGTGAAGCTGACGTGCTCAGATGTGTTGCCTGTGCTCGCTGCTGACTTGATGGTTTTAGTCTAACTGTATTTTCAAGATATACTGGAAGACAAGTTACTCCTCAGAGTTTCGAGGTTTTTTTTCCAAACGCCCACCAGTGTTATGTTTCCCGTTAGTGTTATTTCACACTGTCAACTTTGAGTAGATTTGAGAGTGTGTTTGGTTTGGCAGCACCTGTTTACAGCATATGTGATATGAGGATCTGAATACATTAGTTATATCTATGTATCCATCCACCCATTCACCTATCTTTCCATCAACCAATCAACATCCTTCAATTCATCCATTCATTAATTGAATTCTAAGAGACTTAAACGTTAACTCTGACTCTGATTGATTCATCTTTGTACATCTTTGGTTCATAGTGAAGTGACATCATCCTAAAAACTAGCTCAGGTCTGAAACACACACACATTTATTCTCTCTGTGTCACATTAATGTCTTCCAGTGGGAGAGGCCAGGAATCTGATTCCCATGGATCCAAACGGTTTATCAGATCCATATGTCAAACTCAAACTCATCCCAGATCCAAAGAATGAAACCAAACAGAAGACCAGAACCATCCGTTCGTCTCTCAACCCCTGCTGGAACGAGTCCTTCACCTTGTGAGTCCTGGTTTGTGTGTGTGTGTGTAAATGATGTCAACAAAAAAGAGGTAAAAAAAAAAAAACATGCCAGAATGAAATTCAAATGAATTCGATTGTGTTTTTGTGACAGTTCACCATTTCTCACGACCCTGAGAAAGTGTTCAGCTGTTGTCGTCAGATTTTCCTGCCTTTTTCAGTGTGTGCAGCAGAAACCGTGTGGTGGCGAAGAGCTTACGCAGCATCCACTGGATCTCATTATTGAAAGGTTTACATCAGGATAACGTTACAAAAGAAATGGTTATTGTTTTCGAAACACCGTGGAACACAGAACAGTACAGTCATCGTGAAGAACAGAGGACACAGAACATTGTTGACGTCACACAGAACTGGACGTCCCTTCAGAATTTTTGAAAGATGAGTGAACGTGTCAGGGACCTACAGCAGCACAACACTAAAGGGCATTACAGACCTACCTACAGCAGCACAACACTAAAGGGCAGACAGGATTTTCTTTTGACAGCTTCTGACGACACCGTACTTCTGACATCAACGTCCTGATGTCCTCGTCTGAGAGACTAAAGGCAAGAAGTGCAAGACAGAACCTATCTGTGCCTTTAACTTTGCATCCAACACGTGTGATATTTGGAGCAAACCAATCGTATTCACTGTGAGGGATGCTGGTGGTTTCATCGTGTTTCAGGGCTTCTTTTTTTAGCTTGAAGTGCAGTAGCACTTGTACAGTATCAACATAAGGTCCACAGGCCAAATGTGGCCCACAAAGTCATTTTTTGTGGCCCACAAAACGTTTAAGCATTGAATTGCTCTATAATGTCTATGCACCTTCAGAGTGTATATTGACCAAAGATTACAACCACAACAATGCATTTCACTGTTTAAATAACCCTGCATGTGTGTGTGTGTGTGTGTGTGTGTGTGTTGCAGTAAGCTGAAAGCGTCAGACAAGGACCGTCGTCTGTCCATCGAGGTGTGGGACTGGGACAGAACCACCAGGAATGACTTCATGGGCTCCATGTCGTTTGGCGTTTCTGAGCTCATCAAATCCACTAACTGTGGATGGTCAGTCCCAGCCAATCACTCGCCTTATAGGACGATGATGTTACAGTGTGGTTTAGTTGACTCACTCATTGGATAAATACCTGAAAATGTCATCCTGATTTTCTTTATTCTCTCTCAGAAATAATGTAAATATTAGACTCATTTCAAATGACAACTCAAAGGACTACACAGTCAGGTTTTTCCATCTACCTACTGAAGTCGAACCAACAACCCTCAGGGTGTAACACGACTGCACCAACTGCTACAGTCAGCCCTGTTGAGCCTTGAGATTTGCAAACTAAAAAAAAGCTTTAAAAACTTATAAAAATGGTATTACAAATAGGATGTCAGCCTCAGGTATTGTTGTTTTGACCAGTGCATCGTCTCACAGGTACAAACTGCTGAACTAGGAGGAGGGAGAATACTACAACGTTCCCATCCCTGAGGTGGACGACATCAACCTGGAGCTCAGACAGAAGTTTGAGGTGAGGACAGAAGTCAGGAGGGATTTAAGCCTGAGGAAACAACTTTTCTTACACACAAGTACGCTCTCATTTTAACCAAATTTGTTCTTCTCCACCGTAACCACGGCAACCACATATTTCCAACCAGTGATTTTCATCCTGTGAGCCAGTGATGGAGATCGTTTTCTCCAGGCATTAATGTAAAAGCTTTTGATTGTTGTAAAATAAATTTAAAATTAACATGCTGAGCACTAGCCGTGGGCTAACTATGAGCAAAGAATATAACATAATGAAAAACAACATCAGTGATGTAGCCATAGGAAAAGTGTTTTGTTCAGATAAGAGAGATAAGCACGTAATCACCAATGTAGTTAAATTAAAAATGCTAAAGAATATTTGTAAGTATTTGATTTGATACTGTGTATTATTGTAAAAAAAAAAAGATGTCAAGTACACTTCCAAAAACTCGTATTTTCATCATACTTTAAATCATTGACTGTAAATTCAAAATTCAACTCCAGCAGGGCTGGATCCAAAAACTCAAAAATCTGAACAAAGATATATACATTTATTATGAATTATGTCCTTGATGTTGTTGACATTTTCCATTGTTGCTTTAGCTGTAAAAATAGCCACAGCGTTCCACTCCACGTGTGAAGGACATGTATACAGTACATGTGTGTTCTTCACTATTAAAGTTTGAGTCATCAGCTCACAGCCTATCCTCCAGACACAGTGCGCGGTTGTGTTTAATTTTCTGCTTCCCACCGTATAATACAACAGTGACAGTGACTTTCCTCCGAGGCTGCCGCCTTCACACGACCGTGCAGTTGCTGTGGAAACGTGTGTGAGACGCAGCCAGATGTGACAGAACAAAAAAAACCCCGACCTCCTTATTTTAATCACAAACTTGCTTCGTGCGATTGTTTTTGTATCATGTGTTGTTTACAGCGAGACACGCATCAACAGAGCTAGTGAGTGTGTTCTTCTTCTTCTAGGCCTGCCAGTTAAATATCCACTACCTGAAGGTAGCTCCTCTGCCTGCCTCCTCTCTGTTTGTTTCACCTCCAGCCTGCATCACACTCACTTTATTTACTGTACTGGGATTGTTTGTGGATCCCGGATGGGCTTCCACAAATAAATCTGGTTTACTAACAAAGGCTCAACTCAACAGCAACACAAGCATGCAGCTCAGTTTACTCATTTTGTGCGCCTCTGTACCGATGATGTGCTATTTTCCCCCCTCAACCACACATTTTGTTTTGGGGCATTTGAAATATTTACAGCCCAACTTCATAATTTTTTTTCAATATGTTTTGTAACATTTTATTATTAGCTCATTTTTAGCCATTTCTGGACTAACTCTTACCAAGGTCTAACCAAGGTAGCACTAGTCTTACTGATTAGCTGTCTTTTGGCTAACATTTACCAAGGTAGCACTAGTCTTACTGATTAATTTCCACATAACTTTTTCTGAGCTTGTGATCAATATTTAAGCCAAAACTTTTCTTATTATTCATCATTCAAAATTCAAAGTAGTTCCTGGCAAAAATTAAGTTAAAAATTAAAAAGTTTAATTTTGCTGTAAAGCACAAGTCTATGCTAAACTACTTTGTTTTTGTGTTTTCTTTAAAAGCCATCATGGGGATTTTTGAAAAGGCGACCACTGACATTTGAAGGGCACTTTGACCTTCTGTCACTCAAAGACATAGATAGAATTCAACAGCCCCAGCTGAGTATGCTGTTCTGTAGCTAAGTAAAAAACCATAAATACATAAAAATAGACTTCTGTATCATTTGTTACATTGTTAGCTTTACACGACATGTCTGACACACAAATACCAGACAGCATTATTGTTAGTAAATGTTCAGACCTCGGTGGGTGTCATACTGCCCTCTACTAGTCTGGTCGGGACTATAGAAGGCCGTGAGGACATAAAGCATGGACTCCTGAAGTACTGTGTATAAATGAATGCAGTCAGGATAGTTGTGTGCATGCCTAATCTTTCCACAAGGTGGCAGTGTCATATTGAAGACTGTGTGGCTGAACTGAATGCGCTTCAGTACAACTCTGTTTGATGCTCTGACTCTTTACATTCTCCACTCTGACTACATCTCTCTTTTTCTGTGTGTCAAAGAAGATTAACTGGTTTGACGTGTTTGATGTGAAGTTTTCTCCTGTTTGGGTGAAACTACAGAGATAAAAAGGTGTTTATCTATATGTGCATTCTTTACAGTGGTGGGCAGTGGTGCTTTAGTGGTTAAGGAAGCGGACTTGGGTCCGGAAGGCTCCTCGTTCGATTCCACCAGCTGCCAAGTTACCACTGAGGTGCTCTGAGCAAGGCAGCGTCCCCACACACTGCACCGCGGGCGATCGACGCTGCCCACTGTTCACTTTGGTGCTAGGTTAAAAACAGAGGTCACATTTCATTGTGTGTGCAGTGTGCTGTGTCACAATGACAAATAATTGACTTTCACTTTACAGTGACCTCCAGGTGTCGCTGTAGTATGAGGCAATCCATATCAACCAATGAAAGCTGCAGCAAAACTCTAAACAAAACCAACCCAAAATGAAACAGATATTTCCTGCTGGTAGTATTACCAGCAGTAATATTATTGATATATATACTGTATATATATACAATATATATATACACATGAAAGAAATACTTGACATTTATCAGATCGCCACATGGCACAGTTATAACCGAAAGCAACATCAAGAATGGTCAGGATAATTATAAATAAACAGTTTCCCAACCTTTGTGAGCCACAGCACATTTCTCCCATGGTGCACCACCAAACAAAATGTCACAAATTTCATTTGTGAGGAAATATAATGAAATATATCTTTGAATTCAATTTACTCAATTGAAGAAAAACACACACAAAGAGCTTATTCAAAAGCCCTGATTCTTTTTATATTCATCTGGTGGATGAGTATTTGCCTGACAAATAATTGACACTAAAACAAATTGAGTTGGGTCGAAGCTAATGAAATTAATCCATGGCAATAAATTAGTGTCAATTATGAAACATGGATTAAATATGACCTTTTGCAAAACGAGAGGCACTGTCATCTCCAATGGTTTCTTTGACATTTAAAAAAAAAAAAAAAGATGAACATGACAGATGTCCAGTGTTTTAGTTTCCAGTGCAGAGATGTTCAGAGTGACCGCAGCCTCGGTGTCCTCTGTACTCCGACTCAGACAGACACTGCAGCCCTGAAAGGAGCTGACAGGGTCCCTAATTGCTCTTTTTTCCTCAAAGTGACTTGTCAGACCTGTCATTATAACAACAGGGACCCTTTCAACACTAGCGGCTCACTGACCCGCCCCCACCTCCTGACTGCCTGTACACCCACGCTGTTATGAAACTCTTTGTCTTAGTGAAACAAAGAAACCAGTCTGTCTTGTTGTGACAGGTTAAAGGAGAAAAATGAGTAATTTAATAAACTGCAACAAGATGAACAGATATCTATGACCGGGTTGAAAATGTAACAGTTTGGGTGTTCAAATATATTTTAGTTGCTATTTTATTTACTTTGAATCGTGACATACTTTTTATCATAAGTTGCTTCTCATCTGAGGTTTCTGTCATTGACAAACTGAAGCATTTTCAGCCCTTTAAAGGTCCACTATGTGAGAATTAGTGACATCTGCAGGTGAAACTCCAGACTGGTCTCCTCTGTTCACCCCTCCACTTCTCAAACCCTTCAGGGCAAAACACAATTGGCCTCAGGTGACTGGACTGTCTTGACAGTTTAATTACATAAAAATACTCCATCAATTTGTATAATATATAATAGTATATACAATATATATGTAGTCTGTATGATACCATAATTACATTAACAAGGCAAAAAACAGCACAAAGTTTTTTACAATTATTAACACTTCATGTTCACTAAAATCTAACAAATCCACCTTGTTCATACACACTGGACCTTTAAAGTGGATATTTTTCAGAACCCTTGAAAATATTTGTTAACAGCATGTGTTTGGTAACACATGGTCCCTGCACTAAATCGCTCCCTACATTAGTACTTTTTCAATAACTTCATTCATTAAACAACTAATTGTACTCACCAGTGTTAGCATTGGTTATTAATGTAATGACTGTAGCGTCCAGACATGTTTAAGACTGTTGTGTATCTTGTGCGTAACTGTGCACATGTGCATGTGGGTCACACAGAAAGCCAAGCTGGGCCATGGAAAGAAGGTGATCACGCCCTCGGACCACAGACGCTTCAGTCTGCCGTCAGGGAACATGGACCGGGTCAGACTAAATGACTTCAACTTCCTGGCTCTGCTGGGGAAGGGCAGCTTTGGCAAAGTGAGTGCTTCAAAACACAAGCTAACCATTGCCAAAAATGCTGGCGTGAGAGAAGAGTACAATAACATCATTGATACTGATCTTTGATCAGGTGATGTTGGCAGAGATGAAGTCAACAGAGGAGCTGTACGCCATCAAGATCCTGAAGAAAGACGTGGTGATCCAGGACGACGACGTCGAGTGTACGATGGTGGAAAAAAGAGTTTTGGCCCAGAGAGATAAACCACCGTTTCTCACACAGCTCCACTCCTGCTTCCAGACTGTGGTGAGAGCTCATTTCTTTGTTTCATTCATTCATTCCTTCAGGAAGGCTAGAGCCAATCCCATCGGTTCACATCCCTAACACCTGGAGAAAAGACACACACTGCAGATCTTTGTTCCACTATATAAGGCAGTGGTTCCCAAGGTGAGGGATGGACCCCAACAGAGGGCACCAACCCTAACAATTGTGTCTGTCACACAGTGATGAATTTAATTTCAACTTGCTTTTTTGCTTCATAAGAGTAAACAACAACAGCTGGTACTGCAACTAAATGTTTGGGCAAAAGCACTTAACCCTCTACCTCCATCTGACCCACAGTTCTAATTTCTGGGACATGAAAGCTCAAAAAGTAATCACCTCTCTCTCTAAAGAACACCGCTCTGTTCCGTTCCCCTGTTACGTCTGTATATATCCACTCAGCCTTTTGATTCATCCTGTGTCAGATAATATACATACTGAGCTGAAAGTAGCCATGAACATAAAGCCTGCTCTCTGACGTCAGCTGTGTGCGTAGACAGTGGGATTTTGAGTCTTTATTGAACCTAAATCAAATGTTCAAGGCAGCTTGATTTAATAAAACTGGCGTACATTTGGACGACCTCTTCAGGCTGCTATAAAAAGTATTATTGTACACCGCACTTGTATGCACGTAGCACCGTGTCTCTGTGTATGTGTGCACATATAGAATCTGAATAATATTTTCTTTAGCAGTCATACATCACGCTCCAGTCTTATTACACCTGTATGCACGGCTGTTCTCTGGAGAATTTCCTCTGTTTGTTGGTTTCTGTATAGGACCGCCTGTACTTTGTGATGGAGTACATTAATGGAGGAGACCTCATGTACCACATCCAGCGCATGGGCAAGTTCAAGGAGCCACAGGCAGTGTAAGAACACTTCACTTCAAACAGACACACACCGTTCATTCAACCAACAGTTATGTCCAAATAAAATAGGACAATAATCGGTGTATAACTAATGACATGCATGTGTAGTAGTCAGAGGAGGCTGTGGTGTTTCCATTAGGCTTCATGCCTTAGTCATGGATAAAAGTTAATAAAGATTAAATATTTATATATACTCTAAATCTTCATTTAATTTGAAAAAAAGGAAAACATTTAACTTGCTGGACATAATTGAGAAAACACCTCAATAAGGATTAGCTAAAGGCTAACTACAACTCAGGCCAGGTGGTGTGTATATTCACCCAGAAGAGGGCAGCACACAGGTGGAGCACATCAGGTAATCAGAGTGGAGGGAAAACAGGAGAAGGAGAACAGGTGGAAGACGTCAGGCTGATCACAGAGAAACACTGAAAAAACATGAATACACTCTAGTTACTTTTTTATTGGTTTCTGTTCACAAATGAATTAAAACTTTAATTAAAACACTAAAGGCTGCCTCACCACTTGATTCAATGCTAAAATAAGGAACGTTCAAACCCCAGTTCAAAATAAGGAAAATGTAATTAAGAAGACTTAATAATTGTAATATTTAAACATAAAACACTTCACGCAAAAAGTATTACAAAATGATGTAATATTTAAACATAAAACACTTCACCTTCTACAGTGAAAAGATGTATTTTTGAAATGAATCCTAATCAAAGCTGTCATGTGTCATGGAGAGGGTGTAGAACACAAATACACAGTGCACCTTTGTTTATCCATAGTAAAAAGACGTGTTCTGTTGAAGAGTGGAGTCACATTAGTGACAAAGAGTTTCTGTTTCTAACTCTTCAGGTTTTATGCTGCAGAAATCGCTGTGGGTTTGTTTTTCCTGCATCGAAAGGGAATCATTTACAGGTGGGTGACACAGAGGCACAGACCACCGTTTATTAACATAGAATCAGTCATTTTCATTGGATGGTTGGATGGTTGGATGGAGGGTCAGAGAGGAAACAAGTCTTATGACAGTTGTCCTCCTTGATCTGCAGAGACCTGAAGCTGGACAACGTGATGCTGGACTCTGAGGGCCACATCAAGATTGCAGACTTCGGGATGTGTAAGGAGAACATGTACGAGGGCATGAACACACGCACCTTCTGTGGAACCCCAGACTACATCGCTCCAGAGGTGAGACTTAATAAAAAGAGATGTATTAAAGTCAAACTGTACTGTTTGTAATCAACCCATTGAAAATGGTCTCTTTCTCTCTGTGCTAACAGTGAGCGCAGCTGTGATTTAGCTCCTTTGTCTCTGGGTTCTAATTAATATTGTGTTCGTCTGTCTCAGTGTGGGAGGGAGGAAGGTGTAGGACAGCGAAATGGTTGGGGGGAGAGAGGGCTTTTGTTACGGGGACTAAAAATATCCGACTGTATTTGAATGTGGCTGATTAGTTGTATTTGTACCACTGCAGAAATTCTACTTCACTGGAGTAAAGTGGAACTGAAATTGTTGATAATTACCTCTCCCTATTTATAGTAACTGTAGTAACATATATGTTTAAAACAAAAAGACTGTGCAATATATGTGTACATGGGTCACAACCATGATCAGTGCAGTATGTCATACCTCTGCTAACGTGAATATTTTAGTTTATTTATACATACCGTATTTTCTGGACTATAAGTCGCACCTTTTCCCACACTTTGGCTGGGTTTGCGACTTATACTCAAGTGCAACTTATATATTAAAATATATAATTTCACACTGACAGACGTTAGAGGGCAGTCACACAGTAAAGTTCTATTTTATATATTTATTAACCTTTAACACGTGTGTGTGTGTTAGATCATAGCATACCAGCCCTATGGGAAATCAGTGGACTGGTGGGCTTACGGAGTCCTTCTGTATGAGATGTTGGCAGGACAGGTAATCTCAGTACAGTTGCCAATATACTGTAGCATTACTCAATGTTTTTAGTAACAGAGTCTGACTCTGCGTTTTGTCTTTTCAGCCGCCGTTTGATGGAGAAGACGAGGACGAGCTCTTCCAATCCATCATGGAGCACAACGTCTCGTACCCAAAGTCCTTGTCAAAGGAAGCTGTGTCCATTTGCAAAGGAGTAAGACGTCATAAAAGGACAATTTACTGAAATGTGAACTAAAGTCATGGGTTTAACGCCAGCACATCTCAAAATACTTGTGACATTTCCTTGATGCCCCCAGTGGGCACAAGGAGAAACTGCTTCTTTAACAGTTGTTTTCCTCCAGAATCAAACGATTTCAATTCACATTTTCTCTCCGTCTCCAACTGCTTGTCCCCAGCTCATGACCAAGCATCCGTCAAAGCGTCTGGGCTGTGGTCCAGAGGGAGAGAGGGACATCAGAGAGCAGGCTTTCTTCAGACGCATCGACTGGGATCGGCTGGCCAACAAAGAGATTCAGCCGCCATTTAAACCCAAAGTGGTAAGTGTGTTAGAGTCGACACGGTCATTCTGTCATCATTACCGTCGCTGTCAGTTGTAATACATTTGTCTTGCATGTTAAAACTGATCATGAAAACATGCTAAAGTACGTTAAGTACTATAGAACGTTCTAGTTCGTTGTTTATAATGACATGAACATTTCATAGGAACTTTAATCTATAGTCAGTGGTTTTTAATTATTTAGAGTTATTTATTATCGTGAGGAGGGCGTGATTCAGCAAAGGATGTGACCGCGACAGGCCATTAAGCTCTTCTACCAACTCTGCTGACCACAGTTTATGAATGGAGACGAAAATATCAGAAAATGTCAATAAAAGAGTCAATACAGCGTTCTGTTCCTGCCTCATGGGTTCAGGTTTCCCTCCTGGGGTAAGAACGTGGTGCTAAAAAAAGAAATCCTCTCAGTAAAGATCAGACACCGATACAGTGCTTCCTCAGAGTTTATTTTCTACTCTGTTGCTGCTAAATTTGTCACTTTACTCGATATAATAGTTTACCAGCAACAGAAGATCCTGAGGTTGGATCTCAGCTGCTCCAGAACGGACACCAGATCCTCCTCCTGTCTCCACAACCTCTGCCTCCTCCATCCTCTGCCCTGTGCCTAAAGCCACGCGAGCAGCTCTGCCACCGAGGATTAAAAATAGCTCTCTCTGAGCAGAGATGCTTTCACTGCCACAGCATAAATGCAGGGTTACACAGCAGATGTGTCTCCGCTCACTGTGGGGTTGGGGTCGGGGAGGTGGTGGTGGGTGGGGGGGGGTGTCTTCTCTAAAAGCACATCCATCCATTTAGGGGCTGTTGCGTTGTGCATCACAGCGGTGTGCACACACTGGCTGCGTCAATAATTGGTCTGAAGGGAGTAACAAACATCTGAGGTTACGGTTCAGCTGCTGTAATACTGAGCCTCACATGTTCATCCGTCTCCTGAGGAGCAGGTGCTGAAACTCACTGTCGACTATACGTTGGCTTTGTCGTGTATTCATCATCCTGAGGAAATGTGTTCCCGCCGCTCCGCTCTGCTGATGCACAGCAATATTCACGTGTATATTTAGCTGCCTGAGACACTCTCTCCCCGGGCGGAGCTGCACGCTGACGCTCTTGCCCTCCACTGTAGGATGCTAAGGGTCAGCTCCTAATCTGATTACACTTTCTGCTCCGCTGCACTTCCAGAGTCTTCACTCTGGGATTGAAACGAAGAATTCAGCCTCCTCGTCAGTTCAGTCCTTCTCCTCAGCTAACACACTTTTTTATCTCCTTTTTCCAGTGCGGCAAAGGTGCAGAAAACTTTGACAAGTTCTTCACACGTACTCAGCCTGTGCTGACGCCTCCCGACCAGCTCGTCATCGCCAACATTGACCAGAGCGAGTTCGCCGGCTTCTCCTACGTCAACCCTCAGTTCATCCATCCGTCTTTGCACAGTGTGGTATGAAGATGGTGTGTGAGAAGAAGAAGAAACAAAAACACAAAAAAGGAGGAAATCTATGAACTGCCAGTGGAAACAGGAGCTTTTTCAACCCCAAACTATTTTCAACAGACCTGTCGTTCCTCAATGTTCTGTTGAGTACGTATGAATGTCTGGAAGGAGGTGACTGAAAAATGTAGAGCGGAGTTAGCCACCATGTTCATGTGGAACCCATGAGCTCCCACAGTGGGCGGAAAGAGATCTTTAAGGTGCAGAGCAACTGTCCCAGGAGACCAACATCAGACTAATGTTAGCATCTGGTTAGAAATCTTCTACTTTTATAACTAACAGTGTTTTTGTGGTGCGGAGAAAAAAACGGTATTAAACTTTTCTATTCTTTACAGAACAACTTTATTCATAAGAACTTTAGTATATTAACATCTTGGGATGTCCGATAATATCGACTGATATTAGCTTAATTATGCAATATCGGTAAAAATTGTTTTTTCCCTTGATAATGAAAAACGCGATAATGCAATCCATTGTGAGACAGATGATATCTGTTGATATCACAATCAGAAATTAAGTGTTTGGACAATATCGACATATCGGACTTCCTTGTTAACATCCTCAGTACAGATGTATAAACACAGCTGCTCCAGTCACTGTCATCAGGTATGTTCAGAAAATATAATTTTATTTAGAAATATTATTTTCTGAGGAAAATTTTAAAACAAACCTTAAAATAAATCAGATATTTGGTCTGAGATAGAATAGCCAAAATATCAAATTCAAACTCCGAACCACTACGTAGCCCATGGTGTGGAGCCCACAAGGACATGTTGGCTGGGAAGTTTTAAAATGACATGAAGTACAATCTAAAGAAGGAGAAAAGTGTTACCCAAATATTTTTGAATTTCATTATAGATTCAAACATCCCATAATATGTCCTTCAATGAATCTCATCTATGTGATATTGTTGGGGTTTTTTTAACAAAACCTGAACCATTTTTTCCCAATCGAGTGTCACCTGACCTTTGTGTATTCATGTCACAGGATTTGTTTTCTAATCATCTTCGTCATCCTCTGACACGACGAAGGAAACCTATTTTTCTGCTCTGTCCCGGTTTCATCTACTCCTGACCTGCTACGTGTGTATATTATATTTATATACTTAAAAAAAAAAAAAAAAAAAAAAAAGAGTTAGTACACTACCATAACACGAGTGCCAAAGTAGAAGTGGAGGTTTCTATCACAGTTCCTACAGTTCTGGTTCTTCTGTTTCCTTCTGGCCTTCCTTTATGATGTCAACACAATAAAACCGTACACCGCAACATGTGCAGGACATGGGACACATCAGAGTATAATCAGACCGAGTCATAGAGAAGCAGAAGCTGGTGCTTCTCACTGTTATAAGCTGTTGATGCCTTTTTCCTGCAGCGGGTGACTCTGAGCGGGTGAGAAAACGTTTCACAGTACAATATGAATACTGCTACGTCCATATGCACCAAGCACACTTCTGCTGCATGCTCCGGTTCCCACTCCACAACGCAGTACACGTCTAGTATTGTTGTAAATTTTAGTGTTAGGATATGAACTGTGTTAGTTGTTGTATGTTTGGGGGGGGGCAGGGGGCTGTGTTCCTGTTTCATGTTCCGCTCTTTCACGTCCTGATGTCTTTATTTTTGGGTTGTACATATGTTTCAAATGAGATGTTGGAAAAAATAAGAAAAGAAAAAAAAAAAAAAAAAAAAGAGTTCCTTGCAGATTTTATACCACGGGCTGAATGTTTATTACTGTAGACAGTTTTAACGTTTGTATGTTTAGATGAACCCCAACGTTTGGCTCAATCTTTGGTAGCTTTGCTTACCGCCTTCTCTATCCATATCTCTATATATCCTGTTATTTTCACTACCGAGTGTCATATAGAGAATATGCAGCGCCCCCTGTGTGTGTTGACACCGTGGACTTTTCTCTTGCCTTGTTCGTCTCAGGACTCAATCCCTCCGAACTAAAACCGTGTTACCGCCGTAAGGATTTCAGAAACATGTTTTGGTTTTTTTAAATATTATACAGTATATCGTGTGCATGCCAGAGGTGAAGCCTGATCTACGCATGAGAAAGACCCTGCATGATACAGAGACCCCTGGTGTGGAGCATGGAGTTCCTCCACCCTGTTGCACAGATTGAGACAAACCCCCTCCCAATGAGCGTCCAGTTAGCTTCTGTCCTCATCATGTTTCCGACCGACTGTCATGTAGCCGGACTCTTCGATGACTTTTTGTTCTTTGGTGCCAAGCTGTTGTTATTTTTCTCCATCAGTGTTGTTTTGTTAACGGGGTTAGAGCTCAAACAGAGAAAGCTGCGTCGATCTCGATCAATAAAACTGCCAAATTTACCTACTGCAGCTGTGAACCATCTGTAACTGACCACTAGAGGGACCAGCTGTTACATCTGGACCAGACTAGTGTAAAACCCAGTTCACACCTGGTGTTAATGTTTGACCTGAGTGATCCAAACAGGTTATACACTGTTCTGGAATTCAGCTGACCTCCCCATGATGTACTGCAGTACTGAACATGTATTTTGACATTTAAGTCTGTACACTGAAGTATTAACATGTATCCTCAATGTTTCTATATATTTGATTTACTCCATTACCCCACACTCCAGGGAAGAACCCATTGGAAATACACAGTATAAACCTAACAATTTAACATAACATAATAAAACGTAGATGGTGGTACGAGGTATAGCAGTGTTTCCTAAACTTTTTTTCTGGGGACCCATATTTTAAAAGTCACAAAACAAGACAAAAAACACACAAAAAACAAGACTCAAATCAATAGACATGACGAAACATGACGCGAGACGACCCCCCAAAAAATCTCTTGAGCTCAAAACAACCAATAAATCTTGAACCTCAAAATATCAAAATGTCCACACCAAGTCAGGGTGTCCTCAAAAGAAACTTGTCCCCACGAGTACAGCTAAACCAAGATAACACACACACGTGCTATCAGACAGATGTTGTCAAAGTCACGTCATATCTGTTGACGCACTGATGACATGTTCCCTCAGGATAAATGTTTATACCAGGTGTGAACGGCGTTATAGGAAAAAAAAAAAAATCTGCGTGTCTCACATTGAGAACCATTTTAACAGAGAAGAAGTTTGAACAGATGATCTAATGTCATTGTCATGATTTCAGGCTGAAATTATTACCGCGCTGACGTTTGTTTTTGTTTGAATTCCCTGTCGCCGCCCCTGACTCTGTTTACCCGCTTCTTCTCGTTTCTCTGTTCATTGTGGTATGATGGATACTGTGCATAAATAAAGTATCAAATCTATAAAACAATCGTCTGTTTTCTACCTCTGGAAAATCCTTCTGAAACATTAACATTAAACAAAACTGTGGGGGAAAATAATCATTTCACTGAAGCGCTTCGAGCTTAAAATACCACCTCAACAACCAGCTTGTGGTCGTTGAGCCTTCACCCTCAGGTCAGACACTGACGAAGCCCTGAGTTAGTGAACAGACGGAGCTCAAACACGTTTTGCCCCGGTGTCTTATATGGAAGCGGAGCAGTTGTGATCTGGGTGATGGTGTGAAAACCTCTCCTCCAACAGTATCTTTCTCATCTGCATTCTCAGAGACTCAACGATGTCAGAGTGCTTATCCTCCAGCTCATCTATAATGTACAACAATCTTTTCATTTTTTGTTGCTAAATCTTTCATTTCTAGCCTCTAGTAGAACTTCACATTAAATATGATTATGATTGTTATTATTGTTATTACCATGGAGCATAAAGCTAATATGACATGTCAGTACACTACAGTACACTTCATCACTCACCACTCCTCCCTCATCCCTTTCCTCTTACTCCTCTCTCCCCCGGCCCCTGCGCCCATCACCCTCTGTCTCCCTCTCTCTCTCCCCCCGTCTCCCAGCTTCACTTTATTCACTGCTGCTCTGTTTGCTCCTCGTCTTTTGCTTCACTGCACTGTTTTGTCATCACATCCCCGCCGCTGCTTCTCCTCCTCTCCTCTTTGCAGCTTCTTTT